TTCACAGGTCCACTCTGTCCCTGTCAGATACTGGACAAGACTAAGGTTGGAGATGGACCAAGCCACCACAGAGACAGCCAGGGGGCAAACTGATAACAGTCACGTGTTTGGGGTTAAATAATTGCACCTCCTTCTGAAAATCTATAGTGATATATTTTGTATGCACATATTACAGAGATAAGAACCATAAACCAGATCAACAAATCTACAATCTGACAGTTACACAGCAAACTCCACCTGAGAATTCTGACTTATTGAGCTGTCACATGAGTGTGATCCATCGTCTTCCTCTTCATCCAAGGCCAGGTCAAGGAGACAGAGTTCTGAGCAGAGAGGCCCACACTTTCTTCCTCAGCCTAGACACTTCCGCCAGCTTTTCCTGAGGGATTTTGTGGTGTGCCCAGGCCAGCTGGGAGACATAGTCCCTCCAGTGTGTCCTGGTTCTTCTTCGGGGCCCCCTCCCAGTGGGACATGAACAGCTCCCCAAGGAGGCTTCCAGGAGGCATCACTGTCTTATACTTAAAACTTGTTTTTTAAGTTTTAGGGGTGGAAAAATCAATCCTCTCCACCTCTGAATGAGTTTAGTCTCACAGCAAACACATAAAAACACATCAGATGTGACTGGACAAGCTGCTCTGTGAGCACTAGTCTAATGTTTAACTTGTGATCTCTGCCCGGTTGCAGCTGTTGTCAGTGTTGTGTGTAGGTTCTGGTCTGCAGGGGCTGAAGATGGACAATTGTTCTGGCAACATAATTTACACAGACTGTTCTTATATATATTATATATATATATATATATATATATATATATATATATATATATATATATATATATATATATATATATATATATATATAATTATTGTTTTATCTCCATATTTTTATTTTGAATAAATGTTCTTTGTGAGTTGTTCATGCAAACAGTCTGTATTTTCTATCATGTTTATGTTGTATGAAAGTTTGAAGTGATTAATAAAGATGCACAATGGAGCTTTTCTAATGGAGAGTCCCCCCATTTATCTCTGTTATTGCTTTGCCTAGAATGTTCCAAAATGTGATATTGTATGTATTACTTTTGCCAAGCACCACAAGTTACAGGTCAGATCTGTAGAGAGGGGACTATGCTCACAGAATGCATGTTTTTCATGGTGATACTATATACTACTATATATATATAATATATAATACTATATAATAGATACTCAGCAGGACACCACACAATGGATCATACCAATGCCAAATATTTACATCTCTGTGGAGACAAGCAGGTGATGGACCCTCAACCAAAAGTTACATAATGCACTTTTAATAGTTTAAACAGGACTCGTGTCTGTTGGAAAACTGAGAAACAACAATTTACTGAGGACATTTTTATTTTCTGATCTAAAGGAAAGTACAGAAGCAAGTATAAATATGTAAATAGCAGAAAATAATAGTTCATGTTATGACAAGACACAAATTACCAGCATTTAGCGACACCAGTTTAACATGAAATAATAAGGTAACAATTTGCAAGACAGTCTCTTGTAAAAAAAAAACAAAAAAAACAAAACATTTTTAAAGTGGAACTAAACACTAAATTCACCTTTTCCATTCATAAACTGTGTATATGTGGGGTTTTTTGGCAACTTAAAGCTGCCTCCGGCAATTTAGTACTACATGACGTCACAAAAGACTGCTCATACAGCGTGTGGAAACCTGTTAGACCAATCACACCGTTTGACATATGACCAGACTCCCCTCCTCCACCCCCCTCACTCTCCCCTGTTAGCCCCACTTAAAATTTTGTAAATAACATAATTGCTGCACAAATTAAGCAAAACAACAGAGACAGATGTGGAATATAAAAGCGCAGACACAGGACTTGGCTGTGATCACCTGAGGTTGGCTTGTGCTGGAAATGTGGTTCTATTTTGCTAAATCTACAGGTACAAAACTGTCCGGTGAAGTAAAAAACACCCCAAAATACCTCTGCATATGCTATCAGCTGGTTGTGTTGGAATCCTAAAAGTCTGTACAAAATATACAAAATGTCAGGGGGTGAGTTTGACAGTCAAACATCAGAATTTCTGTTCAACTTCATGACAACAAATGCGAAAGATTCCCTTCATATCATATGTTAATCTGACATTATCAAATCATTTTAAACAGGGGCCTACTCTTATGAACAGAAGTGGGTAGAAGGAGCATAAATCGTGACGAGGGAGTATACACCTTAACACACACAGGATGCAGTCCTGGAGAAGGCATCAGACAGTAGGTGGAGTAAGGTTCCCCTGTCAGGATGTAACATCTGATTTATCATTTGAAGTTCGTCTAATTGGAAGGACAACTAAATCATGTCTGAAGGAGCACTGCAAGAAACACAAATGTTCAAATAATTTCATATTGTTGATGTAAATCTTTTGTCACTTACAGTGGAAAGAGGAACCACATTTTTTACTCAAGTAAGGGTAAGTAAGAAAGTTACTTCAATAAAAATGTAGGAGAAGCCCTACCCACCTCTGCTAATAAACCCATAAAATACAGGTTAATTATAATGTTGTAATATTAAAGCATGCATAGACATAGAAAGAGAGGCAAAAAAACCCCAAAAGAACCTCGTATCTAACTGGCACATCTAGGAAACAAACTAAATACAAAGGATCTACTTTCTTAGGCGTTTAGATGTGCGGCCTGGCGAGGCTTTGGCACTGCGCCTCGTCTGTTGGGGGGTCTTCTCTGGACTTTGCTTTGGGGTAGAGACTGTAGAATGCAGAGGAGTGGTTTTAGAATGGGGACTGATGATGATGGATGGGACAGATCTGCTCCTTAAATTCTTCCCTGTGATAGTAACCAGCTCCTCCTCTGATGCACTCTGCTCCTCCTCTTCATCCAGGCGTAGACTCAGGACAATGCCCTCAGATGACTCCTCTTCTTCACTCTGTGGCTCAGAGCTAAATCTCCTGCTGTTCAGCGTGTCTTTTGAGACATCTTCAGACGTAAGTGATTCGGACAGGTCAACACTGTCTTGGTAGTCGACCCTGGCTCTTTTACGTGAAGACCGTATGGGTGTTTGGCAATTGTCCTCTCTGTCTTTCATATCGTCCTGTTGTTCCGATGTAGCAGTCTCATTGAAGGATTTTACTGCCTGAACTTTTTGCACATCTACCAAGACCACAGCCACCCTGGGAAGATCAAAAAGAGGAACCTCTGAAATTATCTTAGTTTCAAACTGGGCATCATCATTTTCGACTACCTCAGAGGGAATCTCAGGTGCTACACGTTCTTTTGACTCTGTGAAGTCTTGTTCATTTGGTGGTCTGTCTGGTGTCACTGGTTGGGTTGTCTGGTTTCCTCCTGTGTGTCTGGGTGTAGCTGTGACTGTCTTGGGTCCACTTCTTAAAGATCTGGTCTCGGCTATTGGTGTTGTTTCATCTGACTGTTCTGGAACAGATTCTTGTTCAAGTTCTTTGTTTATGCCTGATTCTTCTATGTTGAGTTCCATCTCAACTTCAGGCTGGGACTCCTTGTCCATCTCCATAGTGCTCTCAGTTTGTTGTGTATCCTCTTCCTCAGTAGTGCTTGGAAGAACAGATTCCACTTCAACTGCAGATGATGCCTCCTCTGTCTTCTCCTCCTGTACAGCCTCAGCACTAGAATGTTCTACAACAGCTGTGTCGTCCTCTGTGATGTTTGGCTCACATTTTACCTCTTCATTGTCTTTGTGCAAAGTATCCTCTTCTACCAGAGCATGTTCATGATCTTTGCTATCATCCTTTGAAACAGTGGTTTCTAAATCTTCGATTGTTTCATCTTTGCCAGCCCCATCTTCGTCCACTTCTGCTGATAGAGACTTGTTATTATTTTCAATAGCTGTGTGCCCAGGAGTCTCTGTCTGGACCTCCTCGGTCATGTTATCCTCTGCTGAAGAAGGTTCAGACTCCTGGATCTGTGCCTTAGACCTACTTAGTCGCTTTCTTCCAGTTAAATTCTTGCCTCGTTTATTGGTTGTTTTTTCAACAATTTCTTCCTCTATCTTTCGTTTACTACTTCTGGTTGTCCTGGGGGTTAATATTGTGCTGATGAGTCTGGCACCACTTCTTAAAGCTCTTGTTTCAATCACTTTTTCAGTTTCACTGAATGTGAGACTTTCATGCTCACTTCTAACTACAGCTGGGGCTTCAGCATCACCAGAGACATCTTCAGGACATTTTTCAGGGATTTCTTCAGGGTGTATGGTTTGAGATGGGATCAACTGAACAACCTCTGCAGTGATCATAGTTTCAGACTGGGCATCATCATTATCTATTAGATCAGAGGGAATCTCTGACTGTTCTTTTGACTGTTCCTCTGTGGAGTCTTTTTCATTTTGTGGTTCCTCTTGTGGTCTGCCTGTCTGATTTTCTTCTTTGTATATGCATCTGGGTGTAGCTGTGACAGTTTTGGATCCACTTCTTAAAGATCTGGTCTCTACTATTGGTGTTGTTTCCTCTGATTGTCCTGGAACAGATTCTTGTTCAGGGTGTTTGTCTATACCTGATTCTTCTATGTTGAGTTCCATCTCAGCTTCAGACTGGGACTCCTTGTCCATCTCCATATTGCTCTCAATTTGTTGTGTGTCCTCTGCCTCAGTAGTGCTTAGAAGAACAGATTCCAATTCAGCTGCAGATGATGCCTTCTGTGTCTTCTCCTCGTCTACAGCCTCAGCACTGGAATGTTCCACAACAACTGCCTCTTCCTCTGTGATGTCTGTGTCACCTTTTACCTCTTCATTGCCTTTGTGCAACGTATCCTCTTCTACTAGTGTCGATCGTTGATCTTTGCTGTCCTCATTTGAAACAGTGGTTTCGAAATCTTCGATTGTTTTATCTTTGCCAGTGCCATCTTCACCCACTTCTGTTGATAGAGACATGTCATTATTTTCAATAGTTGTCTGTCTAGGAGTCTCTGTCTGGGACTCCTCGGTTATGTTATCCCCTGCTGAAGAAGGTTCAGGCTCTTCGGATTGTGCTTTAGACCTACTTAGTCGCTTTCTTCCAGTTGACTTCTTGCCTCGTTTTATGGCTTGTTTTTTCAACAATCTCTTCCTCAACCTTTCGTTTACTACTTCTGGTTGTCCTGGGGGTCAGAACTGTGCTGATGGGTCTGGCTCCACTTCTTAAAGCTCTTGTTTCAATCACTTTTTCAGGTACACTGGATGAGAGGTTTATATGCTCAGGTGTAACTACATGTGGGGCTTCAGCAGCACTAGAGACATTTTCAGGACATTTATCAGGGGTTTCTTCAGTGTCCTTGGTTTGAGATGGGATCAACTGAACGAGCTCTGTAGCAATCTTAGTTTCAGGCTGGGCATCATCACTGTCTACTACCTCAGAGGGAATCTCTAACAGTTCGTTTGACTGTTCCTCTGTGGAGTCTTTTTCATTTTGTGGTTCCTCCTGTGGTTTGTCTTGTGTCTCTGGTTGGCTTGTCTCTACTATTGGTGTTGTTTCATCTGATTGTCCTGGAACAGATTCTTGTTCAGGCTCTTTGTCTATGCCTGAATCTTCTATGTTGAGTTCCATCTCAGCTTCAGGCTGAGACTCCTTGTCTGTCTCCATAGTGCTCTCAGTTTGTTGTGTGTCTTCTGCCTCAGTAGTGCTTTGAAGAGAAGATTCAACTTCAGCTGCAGATGATGCCTCCTCTGTCTTCTTCTCCTCTACAGCCTCAGCACTAGAATGTTCTACAATAGCTGTGCCATCCTCTGTAATGTCTGTCTCACCTTTTACCTCTTCGTTGTCTTTGTTCAAAGCATCCTCTTCAACCAGTTCAGGTTGTGGATCTTTGCTGTCCTCATTTGAAACAGTGGTTTCTAAATCTTCGATTGTTTTATCTTTACCAGCCCCATCTTCACCCACTTCTGTTGATAAAGACATGTCATTATTTTCAATAGCTGTGTGTCCTGATGTCTCAGTCTGGATCTCCTCAGTTATGCTATCCTCTGCTGAAAAAGGTTCAGGCTCTTGGGTCTCTGCCTTATACCTGCTTTCTCTTCTTCTTCCAGTTGACTTCTTGCCTCGTTTATTTGTTGTTTTTTCAACAATATGTTCCTCTACCTTTTGCTTACTACTTCTGGTTGTTCTGGGGGTTAATATTGTGCTGATGGGTCTTGCTCCACTTCTTAAAGCTCTTGTTTCAACCACTTTTTCAGTTTCACTGGATGAAAGGTTTTCATGCTCAGCTGTAACTACAGGTGGAGCTTCAGCAGCACCAGAGACCTCTTCAAGACATTCTTCAGGGTCCTTGGTTTGAGATGGGACCAACTGAACAACCTCTGTAGCAATCTTAGTTTCAGACTGGGTATCGTCATTGTCTACTACCTCAGAGGGAATCTCTGGTGTTACACATTCTTTTGACTGTTTCTCTGAGGAGTCTTGTTCATTTTGTGGTTCCTCCTGTGGTCTGACTGGCGTCTCTGGTTGAACTGTCTCATTTTCTCCTGTGTGTCTGTGTCTGGGTGTAACTGTGACAGTCTTGGGTCCACTTCTTAAAGATCTGGTCTCTGGTATTGGTGTTGTTTCATCTGTTTGTTCTGGAACAGATTCTTCTTCAAGCTCTTTGTCTATACCTGACTCTTCTGTATTGAGTTCCATCACAGCCTGGGAGTCCTTGTCTGTCTCCATAGTGCTCTCAGTTTGTTGTGTGTTCTCTGCCCCAATAGTGCTTAGAAGAACAGATTCTACTTCAGCTGCAGATGATGCCTTCTGTGTCTTCTCCTGGTCTACAGCTTCAGTACTGTCTGTCTCACCGCTTATCTCTTCATTGTCTTTGTGCAAAGTATCCTCTTCTACCAGAACAGGTTCTTGATCTTTGCTGTCCTCATTTGAAACAGTGGTTTCTAAATCTTCGATTGTTTTATTTTTACCAGCCCCATCTTCACCCACTTCTGTTGATAAAGACATGTCATTATTTTCAATAGCTGTGTGTCCAGGAGTCTCTGTCTGGACCTTCTTGGTCATGCTATCCTCTGCTGAAGAAGGTCCAGGCTCATGGGTTTGTGCCTTAGACCTACTTGCTCGTTTTCTTCCAGTTGACTTTTGGCCTTGTTTTGTGGTTGGTTTTTCTATTTCTTCCTCTACTTTTTGTTTACTACTAGTTCTAGTTGTTCTAGGGGTTAGAACTGGGCTGATGGGTTTGGCTCCACTTCTTAAGGCTCTTGTTTCAATCACTTTTTCAGTTTCATTGAATGAAAGGTTTTCATGCTCAGCTGTCACTACAGGTGGGGCTTCTTCAAAGGCAACAGCAGCACTACCTTCAGGACATTCTTCGGGTGTTTCTTCAGGGTCCTTGGTTTGACACGGGATTAACTGAACAAGCTCTGCAGCAATCTTAGTTTCAGACTGGGCATCATCATTGTCTACTACGTCAGAGGGAATCTCTGATGCTACACATTCTTTTGACTGTTCCTCTGAGGAGTCTTGTTCATTTTGTGGTTCCTCCTGTGGTCTGTCTGGCATTTCTGGTTGGACTGTATGATTTTCTTCTTTGTATATGCATCTGGGTGTGGCTGTGACAGTCTTAGGTCCACTTCTTAAAGATCTGGTCTCTACTATTGGTGTTGTTTCCTCTGATTGTTCTGGAACAGATTCTTGTTCAGGCTCTTTGTCTATGCCTGATTCTTCTGTGTTGAGTTCTGCCAGAGCTTCAGGATGGGACTCCTTGTCTATCTCCATAGTGTTCTCAATTTGTTGTGTGTCCTCTGGCTCAATAGTGCTTAGAAGAACAGATTCACCTTCAGCTGTAGATGATGTCTCTTCTGTCTTCTCCTCATCTACAGCCTCAGCACTGGAACTGTCTACAACAGCTGTTTCTGTGATGTCTGTCTCATTTTTTACCTCTTCATCTTCTTTGTGCAAAGTATTCTCTTCTATCAGTGCAGGTGCTTGATCTTTGTTGTCCTCATTTGAAACAGTGGGTTCTAAATCTTTGATTGGTATATCTTTGCCAGTGCCATCTTCATCCACTTCGGTTGATAATGACATGTCATTATTTTCAATAGTTGTTAGTTCAGATGTCTCTGTCTGGACCTCCTCTGTAATATCCTCCTCTGCTGAAGAAGCTTCGAGCTCCTGGGTCTGTACCTTAGACCTACTTACTCGACTTCTTCCAATTGATTTCTTGCCTCGTTTTAAGGTTGTTTTTTCAACAATCTCTTCCTCTAGCTTTCTTTTGCTACTTCTGGTTGTTCTGGGGGTTAAAACTGTGCTGATTGGTCTGACTCCACTTCTTAAAGCTCTTGTTTCAATCACTTTTTTTGTTTCACTGGATGACAGGTTTTCATGCTCAGTTGTAACAACATGTGGGGCTTCAGCAGCACCAGAGACATCTTCGGGACATTTATCAGGGGTTTCTTCAGTGTCCTTGGTTTGAGATGGAACCAAAAGAACAACCTCTGCAGCGATCTTTGTTTCAAACTGGGCATGATCATTATCTACTACCTCAGTGGTCTTAGTTTCAAACTGGGCATTGTCATTGTCGACCACCTCAGAGGGAATCTCTGGTGCTACACATTCTTTTGACTGTTCCTCTGTGGTGTCTTGTTCATTTTGTGGTTCCTCTTGTAGTCTGTCTGGTGTCGCTGGTTGGGCTGTCTGGTTTTCTTCTGTGTGACTATGTCTGGGTGTAGCTGTGACAGTCTTGGGTCCACTTCTTAAAGACCTGGTCTCTACTATTGGTGTTGTTTCATCTGATTGTTTTGGAACAGATTCTTCTTCAAGCTCTTTGTCTATGCCTGATTCTTCTAAGTTGAGTTCCATCACAGGCTGGGACTCCTTGTCTGTCTCCATAGTGCCCTCAGTTTGTTGTGTGTCCTCTGGCTCAGTAATGCTTGGAAGAACAGGTTCCACTTCAGCTGAAGATGATGCCTCCTCTGTCTTCTCCTCCTCTACAGCCTCAGCACTAGAATGTTCTACAACAGCTGTCTCTTCTTCTGTGATGTCTATCTCACCTTTTACCTCTTCTTCATTGTCTTCTACCAGTGCAGGTTCTTGATCTTTGTTGTCCTCCTTTGAAACAGTATCCTGGGTTTTTTTTGCCACTTGAGACTCAGAATGATTGACTGGTTCATTGTTGTTTGCCCAATCTTCACTAACTTCAGCTGGTAAGGACATCTGGTCTGTTATATCCTCCTCTGCTGAAGAAGCTTCAAACTCCTGGGTTTGGCCCTTTAATTTGCTTACTTGTTTCTTTCCAGTTGACTTCTTACCTCGTTTTATGGTTTGTGTTTGAACAATCTCTTCCTTTACCTTCTGCTGTCTACTTCTGGTCGTTCTTGGGGTTTCGACAGAGCTGTTGGCTCTGGCCCCACTTCTCAAAGTTCTTGTTTGAACCACTTCAACCACTTCAGTTTCACCCTGTGTAGGTGAAAGGCTTTCATGCTCCATTGTGGTTACACATAAGGCTTCTTCAGTGACTGCAGCTGTATCAGAGACCTCTTCAGGGGCTTCTTCAAGGTCCTCAGTTTGAGATGGGCCCAACTGAAGAACCTTTTGAAAAGTTTCAGACTCGGCATCATCATTGTCTTCTGCCTCAGGTGGAATCTCTGGTACTACACATCCTTTTGACAGTTCCTCTGAAGCGGCTTTGTCTAGTGCCACTATGTCGGTTGCCTCTTGTTTTTCCGCTTCATTTGTAACCTCAGCAGCCAAGCAGACATTCCCTCCAGTGAATTCCACTGTGTCTTCTGTCTCTTGGCTTTCATGTTCCTCAGTGTCTCGTCCATGTTTTTGTGTGCCAGCCTCAACTGTAGATCTTTGTACTTGGTTCAATCTCATGCTGGCTCTGGTGGGTTTGGGTGTTGCAATGGAGCCTCTCAGAGGCATTCTGTGTAGGACCTGGGTCTCCTCCATTGTATTCTTGGTCTGGATTTCAGCTGTTACGTTCTCTTCATGTTTAAGTTCTTGTGTTATTCCAAACTCATCCACTGATTTCTCCACATCACCATCAACATCACCTAAATTTAACGGTTGTGGAATGTTGACAACAGTTCTGGTTCTTAAGACTCTCTGTATAGAGACTGTGCCCTCTGGTGTAGCAGTTTTATTGCTGCTCTCTACTGTGTGATCTTCCTGAGAATGAAGACACTCTTCGATCTCTGAGGCCACATTTTCCACCGTAATCGCAGAACTGCATAAAATGTTCAAGTTCTGCGTAACCTTAGAGTCTTCCTGTGACCTCGATAAAGCTGTCACTTTGTCAAACATTGTGTCTTCGTCAAGTTCAGTAAAAACAATACTCCTCCCATTTTCAGTGGTGACCTCCAGCAGCTCCTGTGTAGAAGCACAATTTACTCCTGTTACTTCAATGTAACAGCAGTCGGACGTGTGTAAACAGAGTCCACCACTTACCTCTGTTTGCGCCACTTCAGTGTTCTGCACTAATCTAAGCATCGTGACCTCCTCACTGATTCTATTGTGGAAAAAATAACAATTACTGTACTGTAAATGCAAATACACACTATACTGTGACTAAACACACTATAGGAGGACTAAACACACTATAGGAGGACTAAACACACTCTAGGAGGACTAAACTCACTATAGAAGGGCTAAACACTCTCTAGTCTCGGAGGAGTACACACTATAGAAGGACAACACACACTCTAGGAGGACTGCACACACTATAGGAGGACTAAAGACACTATAGGACAGGGGTGTCAAACTCATTTTGGTCCGGGGGGCGTATCCAGCCTACTTTGATCCCAAAGAGGCCGGATCAAAAACCTCATGGCATATAAACCCCAAAAATAACAATAAGTTCAAATATTTGTAAAGAGAAACGCAAATCTATTACAGAAATCTTTTTTAATTGATGAACTCTTTCTTTTACAAAATATTATATTATGAAAAACCTGAAACTTTAAGAAAAATGCAATTTCAACACAATGTTTTAACATGAACTTGTATGCAAATAGGAATAAGTCAATTTTTCTTGGAAAATCCTGCACTCAGCTCCACTTTTCTCATTTTGGACATTTTGTTGATAAGGGTGTCACTGTTTAAGAGCGTTTGGAAAGAGACAAGTCTTCATTTGTGCTGCTCTGGTGGGAGGGGCCATGTACAGAGACGCTGGAGACGCTGATATGCTAAACACTGCAGAAAATTACCAATATTTTAATAGAAAATATAATTAAAATATGTTTGTAGAAAATCGGCTGAGGGCCACATTAAAGGTCTTGGACAGCCAGATCTGGCCCCCGGGCCGTATGTTTGACACCTCTGCTATAGGAGGACTACACACACTATAGGAGGAGTAAACACCATGCTCAGAAAACGATTATTGTTATATAACTACTGTGGGCCCTGCTGCACCACAGGCTGATATTTAGTTTGTGCTGACCAAGTGACTACACAGACTACACTCAACAGAGCTCCAGGTGTCTAAAAGCATTGATATAGCAATTTATTATGATACATTTGTGGAAATAAATTATTGTCAGTAGAGCTTATTGGCCATCTTAGGCTTGGAGTCAAAAAATCATGTACTGACCGTATATCTGTGGAGCACTGCTCATCTGTGTTCTTCTGTCGGCCTGGGCCAGTGCCTGAAAAGTTTCACAGCACATGATGTACACATACAACAGTCTCATCCTTACAGTCACAAGGAGCACTCACCTTTAGCAGTCTTCACTATGGTAATCTCCTCCTGCAAAACGCACACAACAGTTAGAGGAGGCTAAACAGGAAGCAGGTCATGCTAGTATGTAGGTGTTAAAGACAGAACATACCACGTTCTCCTCTGTGTGATGTACAGAGCCGCTCACTGCAGACTCAGAGCATGTGACAGTTCTGGATGCTCCTAAAATATTATACATATTTTAAGCATCTCTGTCTAAAATACTTAAAATACTTAATACTACTACAGTTATCCAAGGTGACTGCAGTTCTTTTTATGCTTACTTAATGCTTATTAACTACATGTACTACACATGACAAATAAACTTTGATTTGAGACTGTACAGATAGTGTGACTAAAACATACCATGTGATAGTGAGAGGCCCTGACATGAACATGTGTGGAACACAGATATTGGTCTGTATTGGTCTGCTGCCGTACTGTGCTAGTTGGTACTAGTTGGTAGTTGGTACGTCTGGCACTGTACTAGTTCTATTAGTGAGTATTCAAATTTGTTCATTTAGTGTCGTAGATTAGAGCAATATTTGTTCAGTTGATGGTACAGCCATAGTCACTTATTTCTTTATTTAAAACAATGATATTATTATCTAACTTTAAATATTAATTAATTAGAGACAGCACACAATTTACATGAACCTTAACAGGAGAGATGTTTGTACATCAGGTTGTAGCACCAGTGCCAATTTCCACCTTCATTGATTGATTGTTTTTAACTGACCTTGGCTTTCATCTGTTCTTCCTGGAGACCTGTAGCATGTTTTGGGTTGATGGAAGAAACATGCAAATTCTACACAGAAAGGCCCGGGCGACCTGGGGATCAAACCCAGAACCTATTTGTTGTGAGGCATGAGTGCTAGCCACTCAGCCACCATGCCACTCCAGAGAGAAACGTTGCTCTGTGCCAGATTTAGCTACAAGCTCCTTTCCATCTGCAGTCCTTGAGCAGGTACAGAATACATTCAGGAAACTATTTACATTAGACCAATTCTAAAAACAACATTTCATCATTAACAGTGATTATTGATCCGTTACTGATTAGTTTCTAGTTTAACTAGTCTAACTAGCTGAGCAAATGATGTGTGCCAAAAAAGTTGGTATGTACAGAACAATACCTCTCAGATTCATGCTGTGAATCCTGCTGGAGATAGACGTTCTTTGGCTGAACCTGGAGCTGTCCACCTCCCACAGCAGCTCGGAGTCTCTAGGGAAGGCCCGCAGATAGCACTGGCACACTAGGGCATAGGCCACAGCACAGTGAGGGGGTGGGCAGACAGCCAGAGTTGGTGCTATTCTGGACAGTGAATTACCTTTATACATGGCTGTGGTCAGAGGATACCTGAGACCTAGATGGTCCTCTTTGAAACTATCCACAAAATCCTCCAGCATATGCAAGCCCAGGCCTTTCCCACGGTGACATTTCCTCACAAACACAGAGTCCATCACAGACAGGGGGTAAGTGCGGCTGGAGAAGGAGCTGCACGGGCTGCCTGTACATGGAGCACAACACAGACAAATAGACAGGTGAGGGCTTTGGACCTATACACACTGAAACACTATGACAGCACCAGTGTGCACTATGACACTATGACACTATGACACAGTACATAAGAGTGTACTGAGCAGACCTGAGGAGCAGACATGAGGAGCATGGGGAGGGAGCTTCCTCAGTCTCACACACTGCACTTTGCGCACTGACTGGGTGCTGTTGTACCTGTGGGTTTGACTGAGTAGAAGCCTACTGCCTGTCCATTTTCCACAGAATCTTTGCAAAGTCTTGCTCTCCGTGGCAGAGGAAGGGCAGCTCATCTGAGCTCATCTCCTGGACTCTGTAGACAATGCGGTTGAGCACATACAGAACGATCCTCTCGCCCAATGTGTCCACCTGTCACACACACACAGTTTCTCAGCACACACACAGATCCAGTCAGCAGTGAAATGGAAGACAGTATGGACATGTATGTGTATGTATGTATGCGCATGATTTCTGTCTTTATCATTTGGGGGACTACTGCTACTGTCATTCATCTTATTATACTGGGTTTAGAAATGTAATCCAGAAATACAATAGTAATAAACAGTTCACAGCAGTGAATTTCAAGGTCCAATCAGAATGCTTTATGATGGTTTATGTTATGTAATTTATTCTATGGGATTTTTATATGATTATATGACTTATTACAATTCAAGTTGCCATAGCACTGTAAATTGGGGCTGAAAGGGTGTTCGGTGTAAAGACTTACACAATTATAATGGAGTGACAACTCTGTATTATTTACAGAGAAGCTTAAAGGAAAATCCCCCATACATTTGGTCTGAGCAGACCTGTCCACACATGGGGATTACCTGCACCAGGCCATCTCGGGAGTTGTCTGCAGTGTGGAGGAGATCACCCACAGCCCACCACTGATCCAGGAGGTACAAGGCCACTGGAGTGAAGGGGTCTGCTGGGGCGAACAGAGCCAGGACCTTCTGTGTGTCACACGATCCATATAGAGGCACTAAGCCCACACTGGAAATGCTTATGTCCACCTGAGAAGAGAGGCCAAGGTGTGAGCGTGCATCCCCCTGAAAGAGTCACTGCCTGATATGTGGGGCCAATTTAGATTATTTTGCCAACATTTTGTATTTTGTAAATTGACTACTTTTTACCACTAACTTGTAAGAGCTGTGCAGTCTTTTTTGTGTTGTTATTCCTTCGCAATAAAGCGTTCATTTGGAGCTTTATGTGTATACTTTAGGCAGCAGGACAGCAAAAACAAAATATGAGCCTCTGCTTGTGCTTTAAGGCCGAGAGCCGATATGATGAAAAAACAAATATTGGCCAATTGATATGTCAGCCAACCAAAAGTCGATGTAGTAATTATCATGACAAGCCTACTCATCGCAGACAGTGAGCGGACTGACCTTGGTGGAATCAGGGAGGGTCAGCTGTTCTGGACACTCTGGATTGCTGTACAGTAGCTCCCTCATGTAGCTCTGAGCCCTCTGCTCCAGCTCGGAGTGGCTCACAGCTGCCAGGACATCCACTGGGAACTTCATCCTGAGCAACACAAGAAGATAGAATCATAATAATCAAAACACACACACACAGACACACACACACTGCTCTCCTATCTGTGCGATACATCTTATGTAAATGTTTAAGGGGCCCTATCGGCCCCGGAATTGCCAATCTCTACTAAAAGAAAGGTAAAATAAGTTTCATGGCATCACAAGGTGGAACAGAGCATTTTGAGCTTTGGAGATGTAGACAGAATACTAAAAATGGATTACTCGTGTGAATGAAACAAAACACAACTCCATGTATGTTTTGATGAGGTAACAACATTATAACATGACTTAAAGCTCATAAGAGTCCATTTTATTTCATATAGAATATCTTTTTTGTTTTAGGGTGATGCATAGAATATACCAATCAGAGGTTGCTCAACAGTAACTTAACTGTTTAGTATTTTCAGGATTTCTCAGGATGGACACAAAAATTTAACAAATTAAATCATATCTGAAGGAGCACTGTAAGAAACATAAATGTTCAAATCATTTTACACTGTCAACTTAAAGATTTTGTCACTTGTAGACTTACAGTGGAAAAAGGAACCACAACTTTTAGTCGGGTAAGAGTACTGTTACTTCAAATATTTTTAATATTTTTAAAAAGTAATACATAAAGTAATAAATAAAACATACTCCTGTAATAGTTGGTTTGTATTCATGAATAGTTTCTGCTTGTACAGTGGAGATACAGAAGAGGTTGACCATCACCAGTGAGTGCAAATGAGTCACAGTTTGTGAGTCTCACAGAGGCACATCTGACAGCACCATGACTGTGCTAATCTTAACCTGGACTCATTAATCCCTCTCAATCGGCTCTGTGCTCTGGAACAAGGACTTTCACCTGCACCTCACACACCACCCTGCACGAACTGATGCACATCCCAGCACCCTGCCTTCATCCTGACCACAAGACAGTGAAGAGGACAACTGAAACCACCAAAGTACTACCACAGAGTAGCCTGTACGGAGTACCCAACTTTAATGAAAGGCGCGTGCGAGTGCGTGCGCGTGCGCCACGGCAGATGGAACACAGTGTTCCCGTGACAGAAACTTTTCCCGCGGATAAGAAAGCATCTTTCTCGATCTTTGTTTTGCATCATCCTCAGAACAAACCGAGGCCTGACACCCACTGACTGTGCCGCGCGAGGCCTGACACCCACAAATATACCGCGCGCCTCACAAATGTACACGGAGTTCCCTGGAGTGGCTGAGTGGGAGGGGCAGGGGGGTGTGTGTCCACCACGCGCAGACAGTTTATAAACTTTACTAGGCAGTACGCGCTTAGGTGTGATTATGTTTGGATGATACATGTATAGCACGGCAGAGCACGACTCGCTCTCCGCACAGGTACCTTTCACACAGACGAATCTGAAGTCTACGGTCACGACAGTGGAACGGGGACATTGTGTCCAATGCAAAGGGGTCTCGCGTAAGGCTCACGAGTCATGCCCGCTGGTGAAGGGCCATGGTTAGAACAGGTCACTAAAAATCTGACATTTGGTACTTGTCTCTTATCTGGCCACGCGCTCACGGGCAATATTCTACTCCTCACGGGGCAGCACAAAGGAGCGCCGAAGCGGTGCACGGATGCGTGCGCGGGTGCCTACTGTTTGGAGTATAGTGCACAGAAGCAGAGAAGCACAGAGCGCAAAAGGGACCACATGAGCGCGCGCTGCATGTGGGACACAAAAGCGTACAGATGCATCGTAGCGGGGTGGTCTACTCACCTTGGGTTTACGCAGAAGCCCCTCCAGCTGTCCTAAAGTTTGAAACCTCACGTCGTATTCTGTCAACAGTCAGGTTTGTTACGCTGCAACTGCGTCACGATGCGCATGCTCAGGCTAACCCTCCCTGCACAGATCTGTTATGTAAGTCTAATCCTGTCCTGTCCCGAAGCCTAAAATATAAGAGGGGACCTGACAACCCATCCATGTGCGCGCGCAGGCACATCTTCATACACGCGCTGCAGCTCAGGCTCCACGCGCCCGTGCGTCACAGATGTCACTGTTGGCCCTTCAGACGCCTTTCAGTCTTGGCCTTTTGATACACATTTATTTAGTCTTATATGCACGATATATACACGGAGCATGACAGTTTCATATATTCAAAAGCAAATTGAAGGGCAAAAGTGAAGCCCACTGTGAGGAACAAGTGCAACAACGCGCAGTACTGCAGCTCAGACACTGGAGGGCAGGACGCACCTATGGAGCTGAAGACTGCGATAGTTTTTAAAGTCCCAGCCTGTGTCCTGATAAGAGCAATAGGAGTAACGAAAACTGTGGCCCCTCAGATTGAGGTAGACTGTGGCCCCTCAAACTGTGACAAACTGTGGCCCCTTAGACTGTGGCAAACAGTGGCCCCTCAGACTGTGGTCCCTCAGAGTGTAGCCCCTCAGATTATGGCAAACTGTAGCCCTGCAGACTGTGGCAAACCCGTGGCCTCTTAGACTGTGACCCATTAAACTGAGGCCCCTCAGACTGTGACAAATTATGGCTCCTCAGACTGTGGCCCCTCAGACTGTGACAAACCATGCCCCCTGAGACTCTGGCAGAGTGTAGCCCCTGAGACTATGTCCCCTGAGACTGTGACAAACCATAACCCCTCAGACTGTGGCAGACTGTGGCCCCTCAGACTGTGGCCCCTCAGACTGTGGCAGTGTGTGACCTCTTTCACTTAGGCCCTTCAGTACCAGTTTGCCCGGTACCATGTTGAAATGCCAGTACAGCTCACACAACAGCTGCATTGTCCCCCCACAGCAGCAGCAGCAGCATCACTTGTACAGCAAAGAAAGCTCTTTTCATTGCAGAGAAAACATGGGCTCCTTATCTGCACGGCGGTGTGGGCCCAGCAGGGACTTGGGCGCGCAGCGTATACACAGTATATACATGGACTCAGGTGAAATTGTGCTCTTTTGGACGCAGACGCAGGAGCTCTTTGGCATTGAAGCTGAATACCTAAGTCAGAATAAAGCTTTTGTCTGTGCTGGGGCTAGCTCAGGTCAGTTCACGTTTCACCTGTCCTCCACGCGCTGCACATGGCACACTCCACACTGCCTGATGAATCCTGCTCTTTGTGTGGCTCTGCTCTATCCTCAGACCTGCCCAGACTAAAATACACTGGAGACCTTTGCTTCAACTAAAAGCACTGCTCTGTTTTCATTCATGAGCCAACCACAGGGACCATGATTACCGAGAGGCAGTAGATGGCGCTGTGTGGGGTAAAGGGTTGGTGCTCAAACAGCTGCAGACTGGAGCAGTGAGCAGCAGCACAGTGGAGTGTGAAAGGTGAACCTGCTCAGGAGGCTCCTTTTCAGCCTTACCAGCTGTCATTCATCTGAGCTCCTGACACGTCGAGCATAGAAGACATCTGCCACTCACACAAACACCTGCCATTTTCAGTTACCATTGTTCACATGAATTGTTCACACGTTTTATACTAAAACACAAATATAGCCCTGATCGTTAATGACTGAAGCAAATAAACTATAATGTTAATAAAGAAAGAGATAAAATGAACATCTGCACGCAATTAGCCAATTTATTCAATAATTCACTCATAAATAAATTATGACAAATTTGGAGCAGCAGGCTTTTAGAGAACAGTCAGTCTGTGTGTGACAGAGTATGTGGCCCCCTCATGTCTGTCCCCCACATGTTTATACTCTGGCAGTGTGAGCTGGAGCAGGATCTGTTGGCTCCTCCTGGTACATTCAGTTCATGTGCTTTGGTCTTGACACATCATATTGTGTTAAAAGTAAAAGTAAGCTCAAGTCTTGTCATTGTGCACAAAACACAACAGAACACCTTTTCAATTGTCCCTAAAAACAAAGAGCCTAGAGGAGCATCACTTGGCCTCACGCTTGTCAGTGGTCTATAAGCTGTGATAAATACAGTAAACATGTTATCTGGAGTGGGTTTCAGAGGAGGGGATGCTCACATCTGTGGCAGCCCCCTGTATGTTAGGGCATTACATTAAGACCACCCACTGTCACTGCTGTGGGTGTGTGGTGTGCTGTCTCTCCAATAGTTTTTCCTCCAAACATTGGATGAGGATAGGGTCAACTTTCAGGTCAAACTTGTTGGCAAACCAGTGGCCATAGGTGAGGAGCCAGCGCAGCTCAGCGGCCCCATAGATGCACACACTTCTCATATGTGTCCCTGTGCAGGCCGGGTACAGACTGCCCTCCAGATAGTTCCACTTGACCAGCCGTGTTTTACTGATAAGGTCTGAGATGTCAGGCGCAGAGTAGGGGATGTGTCCAGGTGCTCCAGGAACTCGCACCATGGACGCCCAGAAGTGCTCATCGGGAGAGTAGGTGTCTGCAGACCAGGCCAAGAAGTCCCTGGCCACTGGGCTGCTCTGAATGTACTGGACAAACTCCCTGGACAAGACAAAGTAGGCACTGCCTATGAACACCTGTATCCCATGTGGAGGAGGTTGTTTGGTGGCTCTGGTTTTGACTGGAATGCTGCGGTACTCATAGGGCACAGATTTAAGCTGGTATTGAAAGGTGAAGCGCTGTCTCTTGAGCAGGCTGGGTCGGCTCGTCTCTAACATGTTAGTGCCATTGAGTGCCTGCAGCTCCATTACCAACTCGTAGTTGGTCCTGAGAGGGAAGTCCTGACCGCACAGGTTAATAACATATCTCCAGGCTGTGCGCGCCTGCAGCAGGTCAGACAGGCAGTGGAGGTCTGCGTGAAGGCGGCTCACATGGGCGTACTGCACTGACTCCAGCCGACTGGAGATGAACACATTAGGGAGGCAGTGTGCCACATTCTGCATGGCTTTGATAAAAGTAGGAGAGGACTTCTGGTCATAGTGAATGCAGTAGATGTTATGAGGGACATAAATGGCCCGCAGTATGCGCTCCACCATGGGTGCGTTCTTATGCACCACCAGAGAGTAGGCCAGTGGGAAGCTCTGCTCCACTCGTCGCGTAGTAACCGTATGGTATCCTCTGCTATGGAGGAACATGAGACAGTCTGAGGTCAGACTCACAGTGCTGCTGTCATCCATGTCCATACTGAGCGTGCGCCTCAACTCCAGAGAGCGCCCTATTTCCACAGGCTCCAGCTCATAGATGGCAGTGCAGTTAATGTCATACATGCGGGTTACTGGTGAGTAGGTAGAAAAGGGCTGGAGGTAGGAACTGCCCCTGACACTGACCCTCACAGAGAGCAGTTTGAGCAGGCACAGCAGCAGCAGTGAGCTGGTAAACAGGAAACACCTGTGTCGCTGACCAGTCTGCCGCCACCTCACAGTCATTCTGCAATAAACACACCAGACTTAAAATCCAAATAACAGTAAGTGGCCTAGACAGTAAAGTTTACTGTAGATAGCCTATATTAAAAACTTGAAATGTGTTCTTTTCTCCATGCTGCTTTACTACAGCATATTAATATGTTATTTTTAGTGAGTTAAACGGGCCCACTGAAAAATGCAGTTGTTTTTGGTAGAGTAACGCTCATCAATAAGTGGTTTAGTGAGCGCGACTGTACCTTGTTGGAGTGGTGCGCTCTCAACCCCGGACAGCCCCAGCAGCAAGGATCTTGCTCCCCGGAGTAACGCCGCAGTAACGGGTGCATCAAGAGTCCTGTTTTTACTGTCAGGTCCGACAGTACACGGAAAACAACTCCCGAGAAAGTGCAGCCATTTGACACGAAGGAGCGCGACGCAGCACTCTCTATGGCTCTAAGGGAAAAAAGTTGGCCTCCGGAGAAATGAGCGCGTGGATGTGTGGATGTGACTGTCCCACTGAGGAGGGGAGTCACCACGCCCCGCCCCACGCTCTCAGGACCCACAACCCAACTCAGAACGCTTCAGGTTCCACTGCCACTCATAAGTAAACTGTCAAACAAATAACTAACGTAACATAAGACCAGTCAGTGTTCGTTTATTTAGCATAGATTTCATAATAAAATAAAACATGCATAAGTGAACACTTTTTAACACATTCTATAAAGCCAAAAATGTGATTTGGCCTAATAAACAAAGATTTCAAGAACTCACATGTGAACTGTCAAAAAACAAATAACGTAACAAGTCAGTTTTCATGTATTTAACATACATTTCATGTGATAAAATAAAACAGGCAACGGTGAACAGTTTTTAACTCATTCTACAAAGACAAAATGTGTCAGTAAAATGAGAACACGCTCTTTAATATCAAGTATGAAAAGGTTTGAGTCAAGTCATCTTTTTTAGAAGGTCCAGCTGTCGTCCCTCAGCATCTTCTCCCAGTACTGGTCCATGAGCACATTTGGGACCAGTTCATCATCTTCAGTCACATGCAGCACTCTGACCTTCCTCAACAAAGCCAGGCCATCCACATCTGCAAAATACCAGTGTATTCCAATCCACAATGCTCTACTGTTATGCTCTAGGAGGACAGGTAGGAGTCAGTCATGTCACCTCACTTTGCCTACAGATACCGGTGTAGTTTTATCAGAACTCTGAGCCTAATCCACAATGGAAATGGGTTCCAAGTAGCAGCTGATATGGGAATGTTAAATGATGATGTCATCACTTGCTGGGGCCATTTCTGGGTCTAACTGAATTCTAGCCCTACTGACTATTGACTTGAATGTTTAATCTGCAGGGATTTGTAAGAATACAGCTTTCTTAAGATTGCTCTTTCTTAGAGATATTGTTTTAGAGAAAATACATTAACTATCAAATATAATTGGCCACATGGCCTACAAGGATGATCTGCATTCTGATAGATCTGAAGTTTCAGCGATGCGTACCCCAGCAGTCTCCTCTGAACAGACCCATAGTCACAGTTGATTTCAAATGTTAACAGGCAGAAGGTATACCTGTGTTTTGGATGTTAATGCATGTTAACTCTTAACTTCCTTTGGAAGTGCATCAAATCATCCTCTGAGCTCTGAAATGATTATTTCAGAGCTCATTATTCATGTAAAATGCTTCCCTCAATATGCATTCCTAAAGTATAGTCCAATGACGGTAATTTGGTCTTCATAAACATGTATTTTTGAAATGATAAAATTAATTTGAATCCAACCTTCAGAGGTGGATTCCAGGATGGATGGACTGCAGAGCTCCACCTCCACTGCACACGATTGGCTCTGCTCCACACTGACTCCATGATCAGAGCAAAGTCTGGCTCCTGACGGAACCTGAGGAGACAGAACAACATGAGAGACACTAGACCAGAAGATCCACTTAACTCTTCACAGCACTGTCCACAGCACTGTCCACAGCACTGTCCACAGCACTGTCCACAGCACTGTCCACAGCTCAGAGCTCTGCTGTGGGACAGGACTGTTCCTTGTGAGAGACAGGATAGCTTTGTTCACTGTGATTTGGCTTTATGTGACCTGAACTAAATGACAGCACTACAGACCTGCAGGGACAGCTCTTGGTTGGGAGGGAGGTTGTTGCTCTGTGCTGGTGCCAGAGGTGCTCTGAGGGCCTGGTTGTCCTGTGCAGGGACCATTATGGAGCTCTGGCTGCTGCTGGGGAGCACTGTGTGGACAACACTCTGTTGGTGATGGGCTGTGGATGGCGCAGGACTGCAGCTGGTGTGTCTTTGTCCACTGTTGCATAGTCTTACATACTCCTCTACCACTTGCATTTGCTTTTGAATGGTGTCCACCAACTTTCTCTGGGCTGAAGCGAGCGAGACAAGCTGTTTTTTTAAGACCCGCTTCCGAAGGCAGTCAGGAACACTCCTGCACCATGAGAACAAGTCTGTTATTGCACTAAGTGCTTGTTTGGCACCAAAACAGTGTAACACTGATATGTTTACGCATTGTAACATTAGCAGAGCTTAGTTCCAGACAGTAATAATATGTTAAACCAACAGTTCATTGTGAGAGTAGAGATTGAACACTACACACTGATGAAATACATAGTTGTAGCAGCAGTACATTTTGATGAGAGTAACTCAAATGAAACTGACCAGTACATGTGAGCCAGATTGTCCTTTGCCATGTGCTGTTTGCTCATCACCTGGACGAGGGCAGAGTGGATATCCCATAGAGCAGTGAGTCTCTCTGCACATACACAGTCTGAGAGTCTCATGGTCATAGCCCAGCTCTGTGCTGTGTGATACTAACATTACCTGTGTGACAAGACCCTGCCAAAGACAAACTCTCCACTTGTGTTAGCTTAGCCTTTATCTCTGACAAAATGAGTGTTGTTGCTTTTGGAGCACTCTGCTGCAGAACAGAGGATGAAATCAGTGTCCCGTGTGTAAAAGAGAGCTGTGATAGAGCCAGTTACCCTCACAACAGTCCTGTGGAGAGCTCTGGCCTTCTCACACACACATGACTTTGTAGAGCTGTGGCACTCCAAGCATGACACACCTGACAGAAAGACACATCTCAGACACTTCTCACACATCATCACATTTGACTTCAAGTAAACTACTGCCATTCCCTGAACATTACTGAATACAAACGACCAGAAAAGGGATAATAGTAGCTGGTTCAGTGTTGAGAAGAAATAAAATATATGTGTTTTATATATTCTTATTTTTGTTATCTGCCATGTCTGCCATGTCCAACTACTGCAAAGGGAATAATAGACTGCAATGAAGCCAAAGTGATGGAAACAGAGAACAATAAATACCATCACTGAACAAGAGGCAACAGAAGTCCAGATACGTGCCCATAATACACTAAACTGAGACACATTAAATCAACTAAAAAAAAACAAAAACATGTCCGCCATGTTAGAAAACCACAGTTAGAAAACTATGTTTCACAGAGAGAGCTGTTGTCACTGTAAACATCATAGCAACAAAGAGTTGTCACTTCCTGGATATCTGTACGTCACACTAGTGAGCAACGAAAAAAATAAAATAAAATAGAGCACAAAATAAGTACAGAGAAGTGGGCATATACAAGGGTCGATCTGCTATATGGCTTCTTGAAAATAAGTAATTGTTCAAACATGCACAAATCACTCCAAATACAGCTTTGAGAAGGGAAATGGTGAGGAGAAACTACTATAACACAGTTAAACGCTCTAAAAATCGATTTTGCAGAATAGGTTTGCTTTAAGACTGATCAAGGACTTAATCCACCCTGACACAAGCAGAACATTCTGGGACAGTTTGTTTGTGTGTGAGGCATATTCCTGTGGTTGTGATAGCAGTGGAAGAGTGCCGTGTGGCCATAGAATAAAGAAGTTGACTAAGCCAGTGTGTCGTCACCCACAGCATTTGGCTCCACTCAAATGAAGCTCGGGATGCTCACGGTTACAGGGGCAAACTTGGAGCTAGGCTCTATATTATAAATAGGATTATTTAAAAGACAAAATAGGAAAAATAAACACCAGGGTCATGTAGAGTGAGTTAATACGAACATTTTAAGACCAAAAGGACAGACATATTTGGAAGGTGGTGGCTAGTGCATTAGCTGTGTACATTTATATATACTGTGTATAGGTGTGGCAGATGTATTTACCTGGTGCTGAGAGCTGGTATGTCCTCAGCAGCTCTCTCATGTCCCTGCTCTCAGCCATATCCACAGCACACAGGCCCCCCACATTCTTGTCCTGGGGGTTTGAGCCGTGCTCCAGCAGAAGCTTCGCTACCTGCAGGAGAGCAAGCACCAGTCCCTCACCACCTTCAGCATCAACATTTCAACTCTTCGTCATTATTTGACTGTAACTGTGTAACTGTCATTAATTTAATTGCATTTATATCTGTTTTGGTCAGTGCTGGCAGTCACACGCCCAGGAAGCCATCTCTGTGATCTTGCTCAGGACTAGAAGATTGTGCAAGATGGTGCATGTTATGGATTGATGGAGGAAATCGGAGTGCCTAGAGGAAACCCACCCAGACACAGAGAACATCGAGAACATGGAAACTCCACACAGAAAGGCCCTGGAAACCCCAGGATTAAACGCAGAACCTTCTTGCTCTGAAGCATGAGCCATTGTGCCACCACCTGGCATCCCCAGCACCCAGACATTTAACACACACAGTGATGCAGCATCTGGAGGTGTCTGAAAACGCTGTCATAACCAGTGTTTACATGACCAACCCTCACATGAGCTCCTGCCCACTCCACGCGCTTTAATGAACTTTATGGATTTGTTTGGTTGACTTGAATGTTTGTATCCTCGTCTGTCTTTTTAAACTATGGAATGAATAATCTGGAAAAAAAATAAAATAAATACAATTTTAAAATATATAGCCCATTACAGTCTACATGAAAATAAAGCACATTCAGGGTGTAGAACCTCACAGTCAAATCAAAACAGTAAAGGAAGTCAGTGACAAAGGTGCAGGCAGAAACGGAGGCCTGTTGTGCCTGTCTGTTAATTCCAATTACAGTATGTTATAGAATATTCATCTACAATGTTTTACACACATACACATAGCTAACATAGCTAGTTTACTTTGGACATTTGAGCTGCTACAGGTTTTTTACACCATATGTGGCAGCAAATGTGGCAGAAGGTCTTCAGAGGAAATATTTTGAGGGAATGAACCCAAGGGACTTTTGGACTGTGTAAAATGAACTTCCATGGAGACTGTGAAAGATGCTTGCTAAGGAGCACTGGGCATTGAGATGCTACAAGTATTTTACACCATATGTGGCTGCAAATTTGGGAATGAACCTTTTGGTCAGTTTACAGAAACACCAGATAGGAGTAA